AGGAAGACTATTTTTGCTCCTATCATGGAGCTATGCAGGGTCGTGCCCCCTCCCTGCAGCAGGCAGCTGCTGCCCCTGGCAGGCTCTCTTCATTTCCCACACTCACAAACAATGCTTCTGCTTCAAGAAATAAACATGGGAGACCCCTACCATCAGGGGTTAGCTCAGCCCCTTCCCCGTCTGTGGCAAGAGGTAATTTGGCTTTGGCTGAGGGTTGACCCCACCACACATGCAAGGTCCCCTCTGTCAAGTCAAAAATCCTCAGGAGTCGCCCAGCTCATTCCCTTTCTTAATGAAAGCTGTGGGAGCCACCTGTTTCCCCACCATTGCTCCAGCTTAGTCTCCTCTGCAGTTACCATTTTTCCCCATTATGGGACACCTTTTACCCAGTCATCCTTTCTCATGATGGTCCCTTCAGAGATCCCTGTAACCCATCTTCCCTTACTGGGGACCATCAACTGGGAGCTATATAAGCTGGCATTCATGCACTGAGTTAATTTTGCCACTCTGCTTTCACCACTGCCTGTCGTGCAAAACACTGAAGCTGCTGCTGTATGAGGTGCTTCAGGCAGGGGGAACTGAGCCCAAAACTCCGAAAGGCAACAGGCAGCTCCCATGCGGTTGGAAATTGTGGCCCTGCTCTTTGAAAATTCCCATCTTAAGCCCCAAGCTGAATTCCTGTTTTCTCCTGCTGCGCGGCAGAGTGCCGCACAAGACAATGCAAGAAAATAGCAGGGAGTGTCTTTAAGCTTCGGATGAGCTTCCCCTTTAGTGTTTCAGTGGTGGCAGTGCTGGGCTTCATCTCAGCTAACTTTAGAGGTGTTTGGTATGACTGCATGTATCAGAACCTGGCATCTAACCTCCTATTCTAGGCAGTGGACAAAAGCAGACACTTTTTAGGAACAGTTCCTCATCTAAACCAAGATGTCTAAAACGAGCTGACTTGTACCCTAGGAAGCATGTAACGTGATACCTCCCACTGAGATGTGGGCAGCAGTAAGGAACGAGTTCCCAGTGAACCGTATTTTGCCAGGAGAGTGCATCCTCTGTGGATCAGTCTGCTACTCTACCATGTGTCCTGGGCAAGTCAAAGGCACACAGATCTGAAACATATCAAGATACTGATTTGTGATCACGTTTTGCTCACAGAGACACTTAAAAACCTGTCCTGCAATATTTGTCTTATTTTTATTTTATGAGTAAACAACATTTTAAACACTATCTCTCCATCTATTATTTGGTAAAGTGTTACATTAGTATGTGTGGACCTGGTGTCTCACTTGGCTTGACTTTGCCTTGACTGGAGCTGGCTGTAACATGTCTCTTCTCTTTATTAAAGGGTCCACCACCTAAACCCCCGCGCCGGCAAGGAGGCTGGGCAGATGATCCTGTACTGGCACCTACCAAGTGAGTCCTTACCTCTTTCTTTATTAAGAGGGGCTTAGGCATGGATTAAGTGAACATCACTAGTTGGGCTTTACTGTCACAGCCATTGGAACAGTTTTTCTGGATCTTGTATATGGCCTATGTGTCCAATATCATTGTAACTCCTTTGAACCATTTGAAGTATAGCTCTTGCTTGGTTCCACTGGCTAATGCTCTTTATAAATTGGCCTGGCAGGGCTCAGAACTGTGAAGATCTTGCTGTCTGCCAGAAGCAGTGTATTCCTTACCTGGTACAGTAACTGGGAAGGAGCCAAGAACGTAATGAGCATGTCAAATGCAGGAGCTGGGAGGGGATTGTTTGACTGGTTGTGTCCTTTCCAGGAGAGTGACACATGACAGTGCCCCACTGACAAGAATGCAATGAACAGTTCAGGATTTAGTGATCAGCCTAGACAGTAAAGGTGAAATTTGTCAATGTTTATATGTGTATGGGGTTATGGGATAATAGAGATGGTCAGTGAGAAGAGATGGGAGGAAAAAAGTATACAAATTGTAGAGTGTAGTTTGAGAAGCCTGATGCTTATGAAGGACACATAAGGGAAAGGAAATATGTGGACATGGTGATAGAATAGGTATGAAAACTAAAGGACGGTTCAGGCTGGGAGGACATTACTTGGTTTCAAGCTATTTATTATTTTTCAAGCTGTAAAGTTACCGTGGTGTTTTATTTGCTATTCACAGAGCTGAAGGGCTCAGTCATGGTGTGGTGTGAGATTGCTTGTAGACATTAAGGCTTGTAATAAGTGTATGTGTCTGGACATATACTTTAGAAGCACTCTGATCTATGGAAAAATTATGTATTTTCTTTCCTGGAATGCTGAGAATGGGAGAGGACATCCAGAAACCCGTTACACAGTCAGTATTTCTTGGGAGGTGAGAAGGATGGTCTATATTCTGAGGTAGCTTTTCTGGAAAACAGTACTTTTCTGGGAAAATTATCACTCTGTTTGTCTCTGAAGAATAAATCAGCTGAAAATCTGGAGACTGAACTTCCTCTGTTCCTCTCCAGTTAAACTCTGATAATGGCATTATTTTTCATAGGCTGGCTGCAGCTAGAAGTTGCCATTGCAAAGATGCATTCACCTCAGGGTTATAAAAAAATTGCCACCAGTTGATCCTGGATCTTTGTAGGACCAAGCAGAAGCTTTATGGAAATGTGATAGCAGAGAACAAGGGTGAATTGCATTGTTTAGGAAAAGTAAATTATGTAATAGTTAGCTAGGTGAAGGACTGGATTGGAGCTAGTACTCTTATTCAGGGCTGTGCCTAATGTGCCCTGAAGGACAGTGTACAGGTTCCCAATGTAACAGCACTGTGCAATGTGCTACTTCAGGGTGTTTTCCACTGTTTGACATTAGCCTCATCTGATAGATTTGGAGCAGTAGCTATCAGTGGTGCTTCTCCAGCATCCCAATTGCATGGTTTATAGATATAGCAGGTGTCTGGGGTAAATGCTCCTATGAGGTTGGACGCAATTCAGCTGAAGAAGCAGAACAGGAGATGGAGGGCTGCAGACCTTTCTACCTGTGAGACCCTGCACAGTGGGACATGAGATGAAGATTGCTCAGTTGTGCATATGATATCATGTCATATCTGACAGCATTCTTTTCATTTGTATTAAGAGCTTTTATTGAATAAATTTTATGAAGGGAGGTTTGTTCTGACTTTCTTTAGTCATATGAGGTGCAAGGATTTTGTACAGCTAGTTCCCCTGTCTTTTCTTTCCTTCAGCTGTGTATTCTCCCCAAGCTGTTCTCTCTCCTTCTTGCCCTTAAAAAAAGTCTGAGATGCTGGCCTGTAAGGCTGTCTTTGTGACATATCCCAGAGTAAAGCCTTCATGTGAAAAGTCTGAGTCATCGGCTGATGTCATACCAATGTTGTTGTAGCTTTGTTGTTTCTGTTTTCTCAGGCTCTATCTCCCCACAGCTTTTCAACCAATTTGACTCAGTTTGGAAACCCATCACATTAACTTGCTCCAATTGCACTAGTGTAGATGTAGTTAGAATAACATACTTCTGTTAATGTATCTGATGTAGGTATAAGTACTTTTATGCCAGTGTAACAGCCTACACTTGGGAGTTGTGCTGCTTCACATAATTTGGTTTTCAGAACTGACAGTGTTAAAATCTGTGACTTTTTTTTTTTTTTTTTACTTAGAAAAGAAGGATGAGCAGAGTGGCTACAGTTAGATTGTCTGTGTTGTGTAAAGAGATTGTGGGTCAGATGGGATGCTGCAGCCACTTGTGAAATGATCTTGTAGCTGTTTATGTGTTACTCTCTCCCCATATGAGGTCTAAGCTTTTAGCTTTGTTTCTGAGAGATTCAGCCAGTTGCAACTGCACACTTGTTGCTTTTCCTGCAGGGATACTTAAACTCTTTTTTGCTATATTTCTAGTTCAGAGTCTTTATCAGTGTGAAATGATCACTTGAAATTGTTCTTTGTGTCTCCATTTGGCACGTGTTAGAGTAGAATTTAATTTGCAGCCTGTTTTTCCATTTTTCTACCTTTGCTGCTCCCTCTTAGTCCCTCACCTGCCCAGCTCTTGCCATACATAGCCAAACTTGCAAATATTCTCACCATCTTGCTGACTCTTTCCATCAGACTACTGCTGTCTCAGACTGTCGTAAGATAGGAAGAGGAGGAGGGCCCTCAAAGTTTTCCAACCTGTAATTAGTCTTGAAATTAATTCGCACAGGTGGTGTGCAAATAAGATAAAGTATTTTATCATGAGTTCCCATAGCATTTACAAGTGTCAAATATTTACATTCCCGAGAACTATCAAAATGCTGTCTTTTGCTGATAAGCTTTCAAAAGTCAAGCGTGGAAATATTACTTTGGACTCCCAGTACCTCTGTGGAACAGCTGTCATTGCCAGGAGTCCCATTTTGTAAATCTGGATAATGATGAGGACTGCAGGTAAGCATCTGAGCAAACCCTCGGGCTTGTCCTCTCCAGTCAGCAAATAAATGGTGCAAAGTAGTGATGGAAGAATCTTTTTTCCTTACTGGTGGGGCCTTCTGCACCTGAATCTGCTGTATTTATTTATATTTGTACTCAGACAGGAGAATCACTCCCTATGAGAAGAGGCAGTCCCACTGTTGCCCCAGCAATATTCTAGCCCCAATATTAGAGGAAAGGGGACCAGCCAAGAACCAAGGCAGCCACTTGGGGCCTAGTACCCTTCTGAGATTACATAAATAATCGTAATTACAGCTGGTTTTGCTACAGAAGCAGCTCTCTAACCACTGGATGGAGCCCAAGTGCCATTCTGAACGCTGTGCTGATGTCCTTAATGACATCAGTGTTGACACTTGTGACAAGCAAAGCAGAGGTTTATTGTCAGGTTATCTCATGCATCAGAAGGAAGAAACACAAAGTACCTGCCAATGGGAAAAGGAAAAGGAACTCGGTTTTGCATACTGGTGAGGATTTGACAAGGTGCTTCTGGGATCTGTTTAATTCCAGCTTTTGCTGATCTCATCTATATGACTTCCCTTACAGAATTTCTTCCGTTTTTCTCCCTCTTAGTATCTTATTTCTTTGCTTCTTGGGACACTTCCAGTTTACTTGGGTCCCAGATCCTTTTGGTCTTGCAGTCAGCCCCTTAACATTCTTACAGTTTTGCAGGCAGCAGCTTGGGGTTGTTGTGGAATAAACACAGCTTATTTCAGGTGGCCCTGCAAGCACATGCAAGTGCTGCTTTCAGTAGGAAGTCCCTTCCAGTGCCTGCACGTGTACCTCCTTTCTTCTACAGAGATCACAGCAGTTTAGCAACAGGTGCTCCAGCTACAACTGAAATTTCTCTTTTTTGACTGGTCATACAGAGGTGTAGTAATCAAGGCTTGTTTAGGAAAATGGCCATGCTGAAATATTTTGAAACAGAAGTGGTGGTACAGTGTCCAGGAATGCATTTAACAAGAAGGTGAATATTAAGGGGCTGTAGGAAGGAAGGGGATGCAGTCAGAGTGACCTTTAGAGCAGGGTAACCCAGCCTCTGTGTAGATATCATTTAGGGCTCTGGAGGGTGGGCAATGGTGAGATTGCACCCTGGAGCTGGAGGAAAGTTATTTAAGAGATTAAGGGGTTTTATGATTCAAGGTCTCTAGAGGCAAGTAAAGTTAAAAACCTCCTGTTTCAAAAATATGGGCTTAAACTATCCTGTGTTGTATCTATACGAAATGACCCCTGAGAGTGCCTGGTTTATAGAACCACTAGCCATCTCTGTCTTGCAAGTGGGAGTAGTAAAGTGCTCATGGGTTTCTCTATCTGACATGATAGGGGGAAGCTTGTGTCATTGCTTCTGCCCTCTACTCCCAGTCCAGCAGTGTTGAGGTAAATCTCAGGCTGGGCTTCCTTGTGACACTGCTGTGTTAGGAGCAGAGCCACGCTCCCAGCTGCAGGGAAGACGGCAGCCTCACTCTGCATCTTGCAGGCATCTGTGGATGTCCTCAATCACGTGAAGAGTATAGGCACAAGGATCAAGGCTGCCAAGTGAGGGGGCACAACTTAGAAGGAGAAGAAAGAAAAGGAAGTCTGATTAAGTTTTGTCTTGAAGTGTCTGTTTTTGGGTTTGTCCCTGCATTGATCTGCAAGGGAATGAGGCAAGTAATGGCCCCTTGGGGACCTTCAGGACTTTCCTCTCAATGTCAGCCGTCATTTTCAATCACCCTCTCCCTCCCAGCCATTAATTTTGGCCCAGGATCATGGGGACTTGTCCATCTATCACTCCTAATTGACACTAAATGATCTGTCAGTTTATTGATGAACGGCAGGAGTGGAATTGTCACAATATATTTTACTTTCTAACAACTCCTCCTGACAATTTTACCTTGTCCATCTCACTCTCCTCACATAAATCTCCATTGGCCTCTCATTCCTTCTCTTGGGCTGATCTGGTGCCAGCCGCCTCCATGCCATCGGCACGCATCAAGGACATCAAGATGGCGGTAAGCTGCAATGT